TGGGGAGCTCCCCCTGTCACACACAGAGCAGGGCCAATCAGGGGGTTGGGGAGCTCCCCCTGTCACACACAGAGCAGGGCTGATCAGGGGGTTGTGGCACCGCCGCTGTCACCCACAGAGCAGGGCCTATCTGGGGGTTGCAGCGCTGCCCCCGTGACGCTGCTCCAGGGGCCGGGAGGTCTCTTCACTCCACTGATCCCGGGGCCGGGAGGCCTCTCCGCTCCGCTGATCCCGGGGCTGGGAGGTCTGCGGCTCTGCTGATCCCGGGGCCCTGAGGCCTCCCTGCTCTGTGGCTTTGGGGCTTTTTGGCTTCGCTCCACCGCTTGGAGCCTGCGTATAAAAATTAACCACCATCTTTTAGCTTCTATAATTGAAACATTGTATCTTTTGGAGCTGTTGCTTCAGGAGCTCAGAGCCTGGTGGTGGCAGGCAGGGAATCTTGGCTTCCTCCATCGTTGTGGCAACCAAGCCTCCTGTTCGCTTCAGCTGCCTGGCTGCCGGCTGCCATCTTGGTTGGCAGTTAATTTGCATATCGCCCTGATTAGCCAATGGGAAGCGTGTTGGAGGTATGGTTAATTACCATGTTTGTCTATTATTAGATAGGATATGGTGGATTCTATGTACATCACACCAGATGGCTCACAATGTCAGAATGATCCATATTAGCAGTCATTTGGTTAGGATGGTAAGAGCAGAGCTCTTAATTGCAAAGGGACAATTTTATTTTTTGTAATTAGCAAGAAGTCTAGCATATAATATTATAAATAGTATTCCTCTTAAGAAAAAAATAAAAACTACAAAATGTGAATATAAAACAATTCATTACTCTGATCTGGGCATTTTTCCATTATCAATATAAATGTCACATAAATAAAACTAAAATCATATCATGATACTACCACAGGTGGAAACTAATTCATATTTTAATTAGAATAAAAGAAGCTGACAAGTCTCAAAAAAAAGTTTGCAAATTCCCACCCATCCCTCCACCCTGTTGGCCCTCCACATATCCCTTTAATGTGCCTACAGTAGTGAGGTGGGGAGTGTTGGGAGCCTTTTGTATCAGTAATATATCTGATATGGGGGTAAACTATAAAGGAATAAAGATACCAGATAATTCTTAGTGATGGTAACTCAGTAAGAGGAACTGTGCTCTAGACAGATAGAACATACATCACCTTTCTGTTCAGCTAGCTCCCACAGGTCCTGAGCTGCTGTCCAAGACAGCGCCATGGGGTATTCCACAAGGACATGCTTGCCAGCATTAAGGAACTTCCTTTGGAAACAAGAGATATAGAGAGAATACACTTCAAATAAGCTTCACTGAAATGCCTTGCATGAAAAAGTACAACATGTTATAAATGCACCAAAGTCCAGGTGTGCAAATGTGCCATACAGGTGAATCAAAACCAGGAGATAAGGATGATGAATTGTACCTCACATTATTTTCTACTATACTATAAGAGAATGACTCTGATAATTTAAAAATTTGTTTATCCAACCATTCACATATTCAACCAGGTTCTATTTACCAGTTATTTTGGAGAAGAAATAAAGACACGTTAATAGCTAAATTGCCAGTTACCACATGATAGCTATAAATGAAAACTACAAAACCCATGGCAGCTAGCTCTGTCTGAGGCAGTCTAAAGAGATTTCACTAATGACAACTGAACTGACTCTTGAATTATGAGCAAATATTTTTCAGGTGCAATGGAACGAGCATATTTCACTTTAGTAGAATATGCAGGGGTTTGGGCATTTTGTGGGGCTTTGTTCATTTGGATCATGATAAGTATTTCAGCATGAGCTACAAGGAGTAAAGGAAAATGAGGTAATACTAGTAGCTGGGAGCCAAACTGTGAAGGATTTAGAATGCTGTGCTCAGAAATTTGAACATTATTCTCTATATATTCTAGGATATAAACGTTTACAGTTTACCCTTGAACAATGCACCAATCTCCCACACAGTTGAAAATCTGCATGTAACTTTGACTCCCCAAAACTTAACTACTATTAGCCTACTTTTGACTGGAAGCTGTATCAATAATATAAATAGTTTATTACCACATATTTTGTATGTTATATGTATTCTTACAATGCAATAGCTAGAGAAAAGAAAATATTGAATGACATCAGAAGAATGGCAGCATGAGAGATGACCCTTTGAGGTTTAAACTATTTAAACAGCTATAATTTAACAAAAGATTCCCTGTTCAATGCACAAATGCACCTGAGAGGTCATATATTGAAACATTTAAAGGTGAACAAATGAGAGCAAACCAGGGAGGAAAAGATGCTGAGCGGAGCCACAGACACAGCCTTATAGCTGGGAGCTCACACTGAGGCTCAGCCCAGAAAGGGGAGAAATCGGGTTGTGGCTGACACTCCTTTCAGCTGGGAGGAGCAAAGAAATTTGGTGGGCATTGCTGCAGAAGTGGGCAGTATGAGCTGTGGCTGAGCCCAGATACCTGATCAGGTACACAGCACAGAGGTGCAGCCATGGTTGCCTGGCTGTCAGCATTCAAGACAGAGAAAAAAACCCACAGAGCATGGAGACAACCAAGATGGCGGCATAGGTAAACACCTGAACTTGCTGCCGTGCACAACCACATTAAAACTACAACTAAAAGACAAGACCAATATCATCCAGAACCACGGGAAGGCTGGCTGACTGGAAATTCTACAACTAGAATGAAAGAGAAAAGCGCATTGAGTCCGGTAAGAGGTGCAGAGGTGTGGAAGTGTGGAGGTACGGAGGTGCGTGAAAGGGGCTGGCAGCTGGCTATGTTGTTGTCTTTTTCAATCGGGAGGGAGATACAAGCTCCCGACTGCTCTGAAATCCAGTTCCAGGTGAGAATTTGGGGACCCAGACTCATACGGAGAGAAATGTACTCTCTGGCATCGGGCTGGAACGTGAGGGCAGCTTTCTCGCAAAGGTGCTTGCAGCGTTCATTGTTCCTCCATGGGGACGCACGACACAGACCCCAGGACCTACCGGGGCAGGGCTGATGGGCAACCATTGCTGTTTGCTTTGCCCTAGTGATTCCCTGAGACACGCCCCCGCCCCCCCGGCCGCACCCAATTTACAACCCCACCCAAGCTGTGCACAGAGGCTTTTGAATATGAATGGCCTGGCCTTTCTCTGCCTAAAAACCTGTCAAACTATAGCTGTGTCAGAGAACCCCAGAGCTTCCAAAAGAAGGCCTAAGGCTCCTCAGCAGCCTGCATTGCTTCACAGCTGCGCTTCATCTGGGCACCTCCAAACCCCAAACAAAGAGGATGAATCTGCAGATCTCTCTGTAGCTCCTGCTGGGTGGCCTCAGGCAGTGGCAGACTTTGCACCTCCTTGGAGATCCAAGGGCCAGTATACCCAGTGGTCAGAGTGAGCCTATCCAGATTACAACTCTTCACATCCATAAGAGACACACTCAGGGGGCAGACTCAGTGAGTGCCAAATCCCCACTGAAGCAAGTCCTGCCCCATAAGGGTGTCTCCAGCACAGAAGTTCTCCCATTGTAGACACAACTGGTCCTCACAGCCAACTGGCCTGGAGGTTAATTTCTCCCAGTGATACCAACAGCAATCAAGGCTTAACTACAA